TGAGAGGGGAGGAAAACAGACTTTGCAGACAGGGAAAATGCTGGAGTGAATGGAGTTGTCCAGGGAGGAGCTCTGCAACAGGATGCCTTGGAACTGATCTGCTTATTTAATACACTTAATGAAGCTGACCTAAAAGTAGGAGCCTGAGGATATCATACAGTTGAAACTGTGAGACCATGACACCTGAATTAGTCAGCAGAAGAAAATATTGTAGCAGAAAATATATAAAATGGTGTATTTAAGGATTAAATAAAAACTAAAAGAAAGAACTTGTGGTAGAATTTTCCAGGGCACTGAGGTGCAAATGGATAGAAAAAAAAAAAAATTAATTGAGCAAAAGGTGAATATGAGCAAGTAATTTATACACCCATGGAAAAAAGTGGAGTGGAGTCAATATGACAGATGACAATAAGATATGATTGCAAGAGCTCCCAAAGGCTCTGCTAAAGAGTTATTAAATAGGCACATATTTATTAAAGTTTTATTCATATAAATGTCCATGTGACCAATATTACTGTGCTGCTTGTGTGAGAATCGTCTGGTTGTCATCTAATAAGATCAAACAAAGGATGTTTTCTGGATTCTATTCAGACGTTAGGGCACAACTGAATGAAAAAGTAAAACTAATGATATGTTTATTTCTTTTCTTCTGTCCTTCCCAATGCTGCCTTTCCTGTCCCCAGGGGAAGTAGATTGTAAGGAGATGGGTGACTGTGTGCCAGGATCAGGATCTGCATCTACAGACTTGTGCCTTCCCGCGCTTGATTATCTCAGGAGATGTTCTCAGGTATGATAAACAATCTTATACAGGTACTAACCTGGCCTAGAAACAGTTCTAACCTCCAGGCTTTGCATCAATGGTTAGATGGTTTACATGAACACAACAGAATCTCATACCTTCTAGGTCAGCTAGTGGTGGGAAGACTGAGGAGATTAAAACACTCAGACTCAAGGAGCATATGGGAAAATGTGAATGTTCAAAACCTAGTAGTAACATATCCAAAGCTACACTCATTCTTATTTAAACAGTTACTGTAAACAGTGTTGGGAATGAAGGAGAAAAAAAACAAACCCTGAGAATTCTCAGATCTTAAGCAGAGCAACAGGTTACACCCTCTAAAACTTAGCAGCAGCTTATCTGTACCGTGAAAACATATCTGAAGCTCAGGGCAAATCTCTAACAATTAGAATGCTGGCATGTTTCCTGTAATCTCTTTGCACACAGCACAAATGATTATCCAGGGTTATTAGGATGTTTTTTGTCTGATTTTATAATGTTGCTTGTATTTCTGTAGTACCTGCAGGTCTTTTTGTTGGACCCAGGCCATGTTTTTTTTCTGGGTACAATACAAATGCATAACAAAGGATATTACTACAGCTGAAAGGACTTACTATCTAAATTCAGAGATAACGGGTGGATTCAGTACACAGACTAAGAGGAGAAGGAAAGAATAAGGCAACTCAGAATAATAGACAGCAGATATATCAAACTGGACTTGCTATTTTGTTCACCTAAAAAAATTTAGTGAATGTATATATGTATATCTAATCTATGTTCTATCTACACACTATGTGTACCACATCACTCTTCCTCATTCTTACAAACCCCAGTCCACAATGAGACAGAAATATTTTCTCCTCTTTAAAAGAAGCAACAATTTTATCTTGTTGTTGTTTATCTTGTTATCTATACCTTTTATCTTGCCAGTAGAAGAACAGGAATGACTAAAAAGAAATCCTGTCTGTACATTGCAAATTCATGGTTTACTTCAGAAAGGCCTGGTAAAATACTGGTAACATCCCAGCTATAGCACAGTTCTGCAAAGTTTGTATTTGTTGTGCAATGGACAACCCAGGCAGTGAAGCTCTGAAGTAAACCTGTACAGGTCCTTTTATCAGTATTTACTTAGTCCTTCAGAGCTCCAAAATATTCTGTGTACAGCTAATGGAGCTTCTTAGGTCATAGGTGCAATCAGTAATGTGTTATTTAAATTGCATTTCTCCCTCTGTTTCCCCTCCTGACCCCTTACTTGTCAATGACCAGAAGACTTCTGGCCTCTGGTTGTGTTTTTCATTTACTCTGTTGCTGGATAAACAGAACGGATGCTGACATTGTGCTGCTTTTATTTTAAATACCTTTGTTGTGTGTGATAACTTTTACAAACTTTCCCATAGATATTTATCTTTTCCTCTCTCTTTTTTTTTTCTCTCTCCTCTCCCCTCACCCCAGTTGTTAGCCAAAATCTATAAAATGCCCTTAAAGCCCATCTTCCTCAGTGGCCGTCTGGTTAACTTGCCCCGAAGAGTGCAGGAACAGTCAGCCAGCAGTGAGGATGGTGTTGAGTGCATCCTTTCTGACTTTGATGACAACACTGGTAAGTGCATTGAAAGTAGTAAATGTGGAATCAATCAATTGCTTCTTCCATGTGTCACTGTAAATTTTGCCAACTGCGACAAGCAAAAAGGAGGAGAAAAACTTCATAGTTTATTGTCTCCCTGTTGTCTACACACACACACACACACACACACACACACACACACACACGTGCAGACACAGAGCTTGGAAGTTCAGGTCACGTCACCTTCTTTATGTTAAAAGATAGAGCTCACGTATGAGAAAAATGCAGCCCCTCTCTTGGGACAAGATAATAATATTTCAATTATCCTTATATTCATAACACAGCTCCTATGTATTTCTGAGAGCTAACACAAAAATGCTTTCTAGACCACAGCTGAAGTAAAGGAGTGAAAACCTTTTAAGGTTGATATTGGCAGGCCTGCCTTTAACAGAAAAAATATCAGTGTTGAGTTTAGAAAGATGAAGAATACTTGTTTACATTCTGTGGTCTGTTGAACTAAATGATATATTTCTAAAGTGCATAAAAAGCGCTATGACCTCCAGAAAAACAAGCAGCATTTGTCTCATGATTGTTTGTGTCGTGCATATGGTTTGTGGATTAATCAGGTGTTTGATGAACGAGATCTGTGTGGAGCCAAGTGGTAGAGGAATGCAGCCTTACTGCTTCTGGACTCATGACAGCTCTTCAAAGCAACACATTCATTTTCAAATATCTGAACTACTGAGCTGTTCTGACCTGGCTGAGCACCACTTGTCTACTGTTCTGAAGTGGCTTTACCTATCAATGTCTTGCTTGCTGTGAATAGAAATGCCACCCTGTAGGAAAGACACCTTCTGATCTGGTTCTTGTCAGAGCCAAGCGCTGAAACTTTCGCCCAATTTTTGTTTAACCTGTGATGATATTAGAACATTGCTAGGCAAACTGACCTTACAAAGACAGAAGGCAGTGGTTCCTCTGGCGCTCTAGTGCTGAGAGTCAGTACCAAGACGGGGCAAAATGGTTTAGCTGACTTTGCTGTATGGTGGTGCAGTGCATTTTCATAGTGTATTTGATTCCATGCCAAACTCCTCAGGAGGGTGTTTCTAACAGATACTCAGTTCTTCCAGATTTTAAGATACCCACATTTCATGTTGAGTGATTTGTGATGTTTCCTTATCTAGAAACATCATTAAAGTCTATATGACTCCAAACAATGCCACCACACAGACTGCCCTGTGAAAGAGGTGTGAATAAATAAATTCTCAACCTAGTTACTAAGTAAGGATTTTTCTGTGTTTTCCTCGATTCTCAGGAAGACTCTTGCAGTCAGCAAACTCAGTGCATCTTAAACAAAGTTCCCTTGCAGCCTTTTTTTATTGCTTTGGAACATAATGAGACAGCAAGCATCGTGCAGACACAGACTACATCAGCATGGCTTACAGTGACAGAGAAGAGCTTGTTAGTGAACCACAGTAAAATCCATTTTAGGCTAATAAACCCATACCATTTTAAGGAAACTTAACTCAAGAATAACACTATACACTGCAGGAGCACTGTGAGTGTAATATGCAAGATCCTTCTAGACATTCATAATAATATCATGGGGAACTAGCAAATACTTAAGTGATCTGTGAAAATTTAAAGGGCAGCAATTCCTGACCATCTTCAAAATTGTATTGAAAACTAGTTATATTCCATAATCTTTTAGGGATACATGTTTGCTAATGTAGATAGGAACTCACAGTACTACTCGTATCCTAACTGCTGTTCTGGTAGTTGTCCAGCTCTGCCATATCCACATGTAATACTCTGGTGCCTGTGACCTCTTAACATCTAAAGATGACATGTGAGGCAGCCTGATGATATGTCATGAGGCACTATTACTGTTTGGTTCTGGGTACCAAATAGAGACAGTTAAACTACAGCTAGTCACCTTAGGTTCCATACCTAAAAGCATAACCTACAAAAAACATTCTGGGCACCATTTCCAGTGGTAGTGAGATGTATAAAATGACCCATTTAAAAAATAAGCAAACAAACAAAAAAACCCCACAAGGTTAAAGAGACTGGACTAGTGGGAGTAGAAAGCTAAGAAAGAAGACCAGAACAAGATGTACATGGAGGAGGAAGGATGGGACAAAACATGAACTTAATAAAAAGAGAAGGAAAAGGAGACCATCATTTCAAAAACTGCCCACAACCATTACACAGCAACAGTGAACATGCTGGAACCCATGCTCTTTTAAATTCATTAATTTCTTAGCCTCCATCACTTTCTGAGGGCAAGTTCCACCTGTGGTCAGTGCAGTGTCTCACTCATGGCTTTTAATCTTTGTTTCCTTATTTGTAGGCCTCATCAACGTCTGGATTATACTGCTGGAAGAATTAACAACTGCCATATCCAACTGTCCCCGCCAGCACCAGCCTCCTACTTTGGATCTGCTCTTTGAATTGCTGAGGGATGTTGCCAAGACACCTGGTAATGAAAGGGTTTGATAAAATGTGAGCTAGTAGTGGCCTAACCCAAACCTCTTAGAATCCTAAATCACTTTGTAAAGTGTGTTACTCATGCTAGAGCTGCACAGAGACGTTCTCAAGTAGAATGGGATTTTCTCAGAGCCTGATCTATTGTTCTGTGTTGACAAAAGGCATCTTGTAAGAGTATTGTTGAATATAGTCTCAACATTTATTGCACAAATAAAGAGGTGCAGTACTCTATTGATGTCCTAGCCACAGAAAACATTGTCTGGTGCCCAGAAAATATAAAAAGAAAATTATACAGTCCTGTAGACCTGCTGAGAAGGACAGCAGGTAGACAGTTGTCTCATATACTACCTCACAAGTAGATCCAAAACTGCCTACCACTCTCAGCCCACAAAAAAAAGTTTCAGAACTTGCTTTCTTTAGCACCACCCCTGGTCTCAAGCTTGGAACAACTTAGAAAATTTACTGTGCATGTAGGTTTTGTAAGCAAAGTATACAACCATCACTGTGTTTATTTTAAGGCCCAGGATTTGGCATTTATGCAGTTGTACATCTTCTTCTTCCCACGATGTCTCTTTGGCTCCATCGCAGCCATGGTGACCATTCCTACTGGGATGTGGCATCTGCAAATTTCAAGCATGCCATTGGCCTTTCCTGTGAACTTGTAGTGGAGCACATTCAAAATTTCATACACTCAGGTATGTCATTGCTGTATGTATCACATCTGCTGACAGTCATCAGTGGTATGTTACTGAACAGCTACTTGGGGAGATGGTTTCCTTGCTTTTTGGTTACTTAAGCGTAAAATAAGAGGAAGAAGGTTGAAAATGTCTGTTTGTTTGGGGTTCTTTCTTTCTTTGTAGGGTTGAGAATTACAGAAAAAAATAACTTTTAAGGACCTAGGGAAGTTACTTAGTCCTGCCTCGGCTCAGAGCAGGGCTATTTTCAAAATTAAATCATCACAGTCTATAGTATACTTTCCAAAAGAACATACTAAGACTTTGATCATAAAGAACTAGAATATGCAGAAACAGGATGTAACAGAGTTTCTCCAGTACCACTTAACCCCAGACATTTTATATTGTTAACATCAAAAGGACTGTTCTTATTTCAGTTTGATTAAATATTTCAAAATTGAACTCTAGTGATAGCTGCATAAAAAGATTTAGTTTTGCAAAGTCTGTGAATAGCAGTAAGTGTAGCAAGACTGTTTAATTATAATTAAAAAGCAATGATGTTAAAACCAGTCTGTGTCTTTTCCTTATAGATATTGGTTATGAAAATATGATCAATGCTATGCTGAAAGATCTTTTCAAATTGTTAGTAGCCTGTGTAGCAGAACCAACAGAAATTATTTCCAGAGTTGGCTGCTCTTGTATCAGGTAACATAATCTATTCACTCTGTTAGCATATTAAAAAAAAAAAAATGTCTATATCTTTGAAGAACTTGTGGACTGATTAAGTTGGTTAACATCTCAAAAGCAGTCTACAGTATATCTCTGTCTTGTTATTTAATTATGAATTTTAGACTTATTAACCTTTTCTTGCTCTTCTGTCTGCTTCAGAATGTGTGATTTTAGGCATTTCTATATGTATCATTCCCATGAAAAGCACTTGTACGTTGCTTATATGCAGTTAGTCAATAATTAATCCTTAGGAAAAATAATCAGGGGTCTTTCTGTTAGAATTCACTTTAGAGGTAATTAATACCTTTCACAGTCTTCAGATTATTACAGTTATAATGAAAATGAACACTGCATTATATACTTAAACATGGGCTCTTGCCCTGGCAAGGTAACCACTTAAAGAGGAAAAGCAAAGGAAAAAAACAAACAAACAAACAAACCTACAGTGTAATTACAAAAATAGGTCAGTGTAACAACTGAGGAGATTGGATATCATTAGCTAGCTACTGTAGGCCTTTGTTCTACTTTCATCCTTCTCCCATTACATGTAAGAACTGTCTAGTTCCTTCTTGAAGATGGTAACATTTTCCTGTGTCCTCACAGGTATGTGTTAGTGACAGCAGGGCCTGTTTTTACTGAAGAGATGTGGAGGCTTGCCTGTTGTGCCTTGCAGGATGCATTCTCTGCCACTCTGGAACCAGTAAAGGTAAAGTGCCTTTTTGCTAGTAGTCAAAATGTTATCACACTAGTTATAGACTCACTAACGTTTGCCAGGTTGCTTTTCCTTTTTCAGGAAAGTTTTTGGGTAGAGAGCCAAGAAAAGAAGCATAAGGGTTATGTGGTAGCTTTCATTATTTTGGCAATTCACTCACAATGAAGGTGTTGGATCAACAATGGAGATTGGAATCAGTTTTTCTAAACATGTGCAGACAGCACTAGCCACTAATAGTCCAGACTTATTTTAAATTGCCCTGCCAGTGTGAAATCAGAAGAGTTTAGTAAGTGAAAACTTACCTTTTGATCTATTTCTTCCTCTGGATTGGCTAAAACTAGACAGCAGACAAAGTTGCTTCCTTGATCCTGTAGCTGCATGCTCCATACAGATTATTTCTCAACTCTCTCTCTTGTATCACAAAAAATCCTCCTCTCAGACCAGACTACATAAGAAGTTGTAATGGTTTTGCATCAAATGCTAAATAGCAGGTGACCAGTTGATGGTAATGGCACAGATCACTCTGAATCTTGTATTACACATGGACAGGCTGGACAACGCTACAGTCACTGACTTCATTTAACGCACAGTGAAAGTCTGATGTTGTGTCTCTCTATAGAACCTATTGGGCTATTTCCACAGTGGTTCTGAAAGCTTTAGTGGAGATGCCTGTGAAGTGAAGGTGGCAGCCCCCTCCCTCTCGCCAAGTGCCGAAGCTGAATACTGGAGAATCAGAGCCATGGCTCAACAGGTACTGACTGGCATTTCAGGGAAGTCAGAGAACCTTTTAAACTTGAGGTTTTTAGTAATGAAACTACATCTTTACCACCACCTTACTCACAAACTCTATGGGCAAAGACTACCTCATCACCAGACTAACATTTATTTGCCTAACAGTAGTATTGAGAAAAAGTAATAAAAACTAACAAAAAAGCCTTAAAACTGTCCCTCTGCACGTAGGAATTAGGAATGCCTAGGGTGGGGGAAGATGCATAGCTACCTGAAGAGGACTGACGATGAGCCTATTGTGTAATACATCTTTAAAAAAGGCAACCCTAGCATACATCAGTGGAAATGTTTCTGGTAGAAGAAAGGGAATAGTAGTGGTGCTATGAATTCTAATCTAGAATATCATATACATTTTTATTACTCTGTTAAAGAATTATAATTTCAAAGGGCAAAAAATGCGTTAGAACAGGGACTGTGATATGAGACTAGAAAAACAAGATTATTTTTCAGCCTATCAAAGCACAGTTTGAAAAGGAATGCAGTTTTTTTCCTCCATAAATACCTTGGTATAGATTGCAGAGAAGAAAAAGAGTTACTGAGAACTAGAGGATAATGCTGGCATTTAACAAATTATTTAAAACTCACCACTAACTCCTAATCAGCAGAACAAGCTTGGAGACAACCTTCTCAGGATCCTTTTGACTGCAGTGGAGGGTGTTCATTTTATGAAAATGGTTATACGAAACAAGTTCCTTGAAATACAGCAGACTGAACTTAATGACCTGCAGAGTACCATAAAACTGTAAATACTGTATGATGGTTTCAGCATGGGAGAGCAGCTGGATTAAAAGAGCCAACAGATGTTTGGTGTCAATTTCTGACTTGATTAATCATACTTTGATGCTACTTGAAAATCTGAGACACGCAGATCAGGATTTGTGATCACAAATAATGCGGCAGTGGCAGACTTTATTTGAATAGAGAAAATGTTCTAAATTAAGTTTTAAAAACACAGAACTCAAGAAAGCAGGGAATGTGGCATTTATGCTTTTCTTGTAGATGCTGTCAGTGGCATTCCCTGAGTCCTTCTCAGTGGGGATTGGACACAAATACTAAGCTACAAAACAAAGCCACAGTAACTGAGAGTTGTTTCCCAATTTGAATGGGAAGTTAATTGCAAGTTAGGTGTCTGTTATATCTTCATGGCTGAAAATAATCCTTCCAGCAACCCACCTTTCTAGGTACAACAGGCTAACTATGCAAACAGGTCCTTGTCTCCACTGTACATGCTATTTTCTGATAGTAGTATACAGACAGCAGAAAGCATGTTTTGGTCTTTGGTATTAGTTTGGTGTTGGTTTGGCCTTACACAAGTTCAAAGAAAAAAATGTCTGTCTTTTGCTTTGTGCTCTGCTGGGTGTCTGGAGGTAGCCCATGGCTCTGAGGCAGTTTTACCAAAGCAGCAGGCTCCAGGGAAGGTCTGCCTGGGGGATACCTTGCATTCTCTCCATCACTCTAAAATAAGTCATCATAACACATCTTTCACAATTAGGAAATCCTATTCTCAGGCCCCCCAAGGACCCAGAGCAAGTGCTAAACTGATTGTTTCATGTAACTTGTTGTTTTCTAGGTCTTCATGCTGGAGACTCAGTGCTCCCCAAAGACTCCCAGCAACAAGGAAGGGTTTGAACATGCCCAGTCGTGCGTGCTCATCATTGACCTGCCACCAGATAAGAAACCAAATGGGCATACGCAGAGAAGGTAAAATATCTTCTCAGGAAAATACTGTGTCATTAAAATCAAGATAAAACTATTATCAGGCTGGCAGAGATGTGAACAAAGCCTGGCAAACCATGCTTCTCCATAGGTCTCATCAAAACGAGGAAATACACTGAGCAAATAAATTTAGGTTCTGTGATACAGGAAACAATAGGTAACTACTGATGGCTCTCCAAATGTTCTCATGATCATACACTGGTCAGCAGGTACGTGCAAGAGCTGTTACAGTTATAGACCAGCCTGTGGCAGGGTCTATAATGTGACCCTCAGAATGCTAAATAAGGAAAACACTTCTAATAGATAGTAAAAATTGGTAGGTTACAAATACCTGAAGGATACATAAGGTCACACAAAGCCTTCAATTAGAGGAAATGCAGATTAAATTTTAAAAAGAATTTACATAGTAAATACTAGGAAAATCTTTCCAGTATTAAGTTTCTTCTCTTTAAGAAGTAGAGTTAAAAATATTAGTTTGAAGAAAGCTTTATAACTACTGTTATGTTTGTAATGATACCTAGCAAATGAAATAATGTCTGCTTTGCTAATGGTCTTTTAAATTCAGTATTACTGGATTAAGGAGGTAGAAAAAGTTAATGGATAAATTAGAGCAGTATAAATTGAAGAGACTACATCCAAAGCTGCAAAAGTGTCAACATATTGATCTAGGGAACATTGGTTTTGCTTGGCACTTTATTTTTGTGGAAGTTCTTCTGTATGTTACCACCTCAGAAACTCATGCATTTGCATGACAATCTGATCCTGTCAAAGAATTATTTCTTTTTGCTTGCACTGGGTTGTTTAAACAACTGCTGTAACATCAATAGGGCCACGAATTAGAATTCTGCATTCAGGGTTTGTGTTTACATTGCAAGGTATGTAATACATGGCATTAAATTGTCTTTCATTAGATACCAAACCTGCTTCTGTACCACTTCAGGCGTTCTCATTCAAAACTAAACTATTGCTTGCAACAAGGAGCCAGAATGTGATGGTCCTTCTTTGGATGGACAGCAAGTAAGACCACGCAAGATGTCTCTATTCTGACACAGCTGTACAGAAGTTTCCCCCAAGAGCAGGTGCTCCGTTGCCTCACCTTCAGAGAACAGGGCCCTGTGCAGAGACAAGCAAAGGTTGAGATCACAATCTAAACCTGTCCTTCTTGGTGGGAAAATACCTGCTTTATCCAAAGGTTTGCAGATCATTCTTCTTGTTATAATGAATGCAAAGCAAAAGACTGCAGTACTCCCCTCTCATGGCACATAAGGCCATGCAATCTAACAGGCTGCGCTCGTAAAGGTAGCGGGGGTCTTGCTTGTCTTTTAACAAATAAATAAAGCTTGCAATTAATACAAACTCTGAATGCTCTCACACTGCGCTTTGTCTAAATGACTGCAAAAAGAGTATATGCAATAGGTTTTTTTACCCCAGCAATGCTCATTTTTCACCAAAACAGGGCTCAAATTCAACTGTGCCACTGTTTTTCATATTATTTGCTACAGCAGTGCAGTAATATGCCAGTCTTGCATGCTAGTAACTGCCTTTCAAAAGTTTTACTTTAACCTTAGTGGGGTTTCTCTTGTCCCTTTTTGCTTTTGTTTCCTTTATGCTGCATCGTTTCACAGGAAGCTGGGGTAAGGGAGCTTTTCTTCTTCCTAAAAAGTAATACTGTATTTCAGTTTGAAACTTTGGGCAGAATAAGAGAATACTATCCTTAACCAGCTTTGGCATTGTGTGTTTTCACCTATAGCTCTGTACTAGTTTCTTTTGGAATTGTGCAGTACTTTGAACTGTCCTTGGAAATGGACTTTTTGGCTATTATAAGGAAAAGCAGATCCTGCTTTTGGAACAGGATTAGTCTCTTGAAATCAATGCAGGCACTCATTTAACTTTACACTTGCTTTTAAGAGCTTTTCTGACTCAGAGCCCTCTAATGATTTTTACAGCAGAAAGCTACTTCCGCATAAAGAGCTCCAAAGTATGTATTAATCATCAAGATTTTAGCACTGTCAGATAATAAGACTATTAAATTTTACTGATGTATCAGCACTGACACCTGTGTCATGGTAAGCCAACAGACAGGTAAATTAACCCTAGAAGCCAAATTTTGTCTGACCTATAGCTTCTACATGGCCAGGCACAGGGTAGTCCTTCAAAAGTCTCAGGACTTTTTGTTTTGTTTAAATCAGGACCATTTGTGTGCTTTTATAGGTCAATTAACATAAGATAAAATCCTGAGAGTTAAAAAAAAAAAATCCAAAAACACACTGGTTTTAAGTGTTGCATTGTCAAAACTGAGTTTTGATATGATTTAAAAAACAATATTTTTTGTTTTGGTTATTTTGAAAACACTTTTGAAAGTTGTTTTATCAAAGTTTTTTAATGGAAATAGAATGTTTTGCAACAAAAAAAATAAAGGTCTGCAGCTGAACATCCCATGTTACATGAAGATTTACTTTGACTTAGACCTAAAACTTTAGTATTGCAACTAAACTGGAAAATCATTTCCTCGCTAGACAGTAGTGCTGATTAAAATGTGACCCATCATAGTTCCCTAAATCAAAACAAGTATTACTATGTGTACTAGAGCAACAGCTCTATGAAAACGTTGCTGCTGTAATCTTATGCAAAGATGTTTTTTAAAATGCCTTACGATAGGTTTCACAGTTTATAACTTTAAATCCATGAGATACCAAACAACAGTCCTGCCCACCCTGTCTTCCTAGCCTCCCTTGCCTGTTAGCCTCCCCATGTTATTTACTGCTAAATGACCTGGAAACTTTGGCTGGAGGAATTTTCCATTCCTGGATTCCCCATACAAGTCAAAAATCAGTGAGATCTAGAACACCTCACAGCATCTCTTTACCAGGAGAACAGCTAAGAATCACTCAGTACTGTATCTGAGAAACAGCATTAAGAACAGAAATTCGTGTTGAACGTTCAAGTTGATGTCTTAAGAGCAAACAGTGAAATGTGCCTTCAGCAAGACTTAAGCTTCTTTGCATGCTCCATTGCACTGCTGATGTTTCTGTAGATTTATTTTTTTTTTATTGGTTGGTTGGGTCTTTTTGTTTTATTTTTAAGAAGTAGTCCTGGCATTTGCAGAAATGGAAACCAAGTAGTAAACTAGTTTTGGCCTCATTTTGTCATGGCAAAGTTAAGGTTGGCTGAAATGCTGGTGGAGGAATTTTGAGGATATTTCAACTTAAACAAAGTTCAGCAACAAAAATAGAAAACATAGTCTGGGACCAGTGGCAGAAATGCTGCATAACTTGTGTGTTAACTAATTCCTCAATTATAGCAGGCTGAAATATTGAGAGTACTTGCAGCTGCCATGAAATTGAAACACAGAATATTAAATCCCTCAGTGTTAGACAGCTCTGGAGAAAAGGACAAAAATTATAATAGAGCTTTGTTTTAATACCACCTCTGCACAAGTGCCCTTAGTGTGCTTGCTGTGGACAGTTATTTTTCTTAACTAATGTAAGTGTCTTCCCTTCTAGGAAAATATTTGAAAGAGCAGCTGAAAGACCATTCTAGACAACTTTATCTTCATCCACGTTTTTGTAACAAGGCTGTGAAAATATGGCCTTTCATTTGCATCTTTCATGTTAGGTTCTAAAATATGAATTATTCCTCTACTTATAGTAAAAGCACAGTGCATCATGTTAATTTTATTTCATTTTTTTTTTTCCTTCTCATGCTTGGTTTACCAAGTATTCCTTTCAGGACAATAGTGGTGAGCTTGCTGTCCCACCAAGTACTGCTCCAGAATTTATATGACATCTTACTGGAAGAATTTGTGAAAGGCCCTTCTAACTTGGAGGAGAAAACAGCAGTACAAGTACCAGAAAACAAATTGGCTGGTTTTCTCAGGTACATCTCCATGCAAAACCTAGCCATCATCTTTGACTTACTGCTGGACTCCTACAGAACAGCCAGGGAGTTTGACACCAGACCTGGGTTGAAGTGTTTGCTGAAAAAAGTGTCTGGCATTAGTGGAGCTGCCAACTTGTATCGCCAGTCAGCAATGAGCTTCAACATCTACTTCCATGCTTTGGTTTGTGCAATCCTGACAAACCAGGAGAACATCACTGCAGAGCAAGTGAAAAAGATCCTCTTTGAAGATGATGAGAGAAGCACAGACTCATCACAGCAGTGTTCTTCAGAAGATGAAGACATTTTTGAAGAAACTGCCCAGGTCAGTCCCCCACGAGGGAAGGAGAAGAGACAGTGGAGGGCTCGAATACCATCTCTCAGTGTACAGCCTGTCAGCAATGCAGACTGGGGATGGCTAATCAAGCGGCTTCATAAGCTCTGTATGGAGCTGTGCAACAACTATATCCAGATGCATCTGGACCTGGAGAATAATGTAGAGGAGCCTCCAGCGTTCAAAGGTGACCCTTTCTTCATTTTACCATCCTTTCACTCAGAAACCTCCACCCCATCAACCGGAGGGCAATCTGGGAAGGGCACACCATCAGAAGATGACCGGAGTCAAATCAGGGACCAGCTGGGAGACAGCCTGACGCCCCGAGGAGGGAGTGGAGAAGTGTTGCTGCTACCCCCACCCCTAAGTCCTAAACTAGAGAAAAAAGAGCAAACCAGGAAGAAAGAATGGTGGGAGAGTGCTGGTAACAAGATCTACACCATAGCCACTGACAAAACTATCTCCAAGCTCATGACAGAATACAAGAAGAGAAAGCAGCAGCAGGCCATGACATCCTTCACCAAAGAGGTCAAAGTGGAAAAGAAAGGGGAGCTCCTGGGTTCAAGAGGGCCAGACTCACCTATACTCCAGCGGCCGCAACATCTTATAGATCAAGGTCAAATGAGGCATTCTTTCAGTGCTGGTCCAGAGATCCTGAGACAAGAGAAGAGACCACGCTCAGGATCCACAGTCAGCTCCCTGAATATATCTGTTAGGGATGCGGAGGCTCAGATACAGGTAGGACATACTTGTAGAATGCGAATAATAATAGCAATAATTAAAAAGATACCTATAAATATTTTTCTATTGCTTTTATTATAATGATTGTAGTCTCTTCATTAAATGTCTTTGTTACATAAAGAAGTCATAATGATGAGGACTGAATATTTCATCAGCTGGCACTGATAAAAACCTGATTCTGTCCTATCAAAAGAAAATCAGTCTTCAGGGAAGTATTATCAGTCATATACTAGTACAGCTTTCAAGAGTGCTTCTGTGACTGGGGCCAAAGCTGCACTTAGTCCTAAGAACTAACAACGTGCAATGAACTCATTGCTTACTGCTAAGGCTCTAGAAAATGTGATGCTGCTTGTCACAATGCTTTTATACTTTAGAAGGTTCTTTTGTTAATTCCACAGCAGAAATAGTGGGATCTGTTGCTAAACAGAAACTTGCTGCTTGCATGTCCAAGTGAACAAATCAGTGAAAGCATCAAATTTGAAGGTCTTTGTTCACTGTGGGATGAAATAAAAGGTGATGAAAGGTGAGCATGGTATCTGAACACGAAGTCAAATAATGACTTACAGTACTGAATGTGAATTAGGAAGATACAGTGAATATTAAATGAATATGATGCACCACTCAGTCCCCTTCATGGGGCTGCAACCACCAGATATCTTATTTTCTGCCTCAACCAATGGGTTCAGCTATTTAGAAAGGTCTTCTAAAGAGTCTTTTTTGTTTGTAGGCATGGACCAACATGGTGCTGACAGTTCTCAACCAGATTCAGGCCCTGCCAGACCAAACTTTCACAGCCCTGCAGCCAGCGGTGTTCCCCTGTATCAGCCAGCTGACTTGCCACGTGACAGATATCCGTGTCCGCCAGGCAGTACGGGAATGGCTGGGAAGAGTGGGCCGAGTTTATGATATCATCATTTAAACCTAGCTGTGCTCTGTTGCCAAGGGGAGAAGACATCCAAGGTATACAGCAAAGAAGTATTTGGGGTTCGTTAATTGCCTATTTGTTAGTGATAAATTAAGAAACAATGAGCTTGTCGATGTGTATCATCTATCCACTTGAGACTGTGTGTCCCTCACTCACACTAGCAAAGGAGACAAAGCATGAGTGTGTCTCGGGGGGACTGGACTGGCCCCAGAACCCAAAAACTGCCAGTAAATCAGGCTGGTACCTAAAGGGGTGATACATTTCAGTAGCTTTCATTTTAATTCAAATTTGCAACAGTGGGAGCCACGACAAACTGCAGCAGAACTTCCACACTTGCAATTAGCTGTGAAAGCAACTCTCACCTGGATGTCAAACCAGGCCAGTAAGCCTATGTTTTTTAAAAAAATAAATAACTACAAGTCAGGAAAAGGTGGAGCTATAGGATAAGTAAAAAGGTGACACTTGTTTAGGGTAACTTTTTTCCCTCATGGAATAAGCAGGAGAGGAAAGCTAAATTTTGTAGTAACTATATGCCTCAGTCACTAGAGCAAGTGGAAATTTATTTTGCTCTGAGAAGAGCCTTTGAAGCCTGGTCACATTTGGGGTAGCTAACAAGTGACTATATTAGAGTATCCCAAGTCTAAAACTGGTGAAGCAAGCACAGACTATTCATCTTTCATTGCTCTTGTGGAGTATTGCTTGAAGAGAAATGGCACTGTCAAGCTGCCCTCTCTGCACCACTGCCCTGGCTGCCCCTTCAGCTATGCCTACAGCTGATCACTTTTCCACAGGTCTGATTCCCCCCCTGAGGACAACAGGGAAGTCTGTTTTGCTGTGTCCTGTGAAGCTGGGGGCAAGACTCACCACAGAGCAAATACCAGCATGTGCCAATATCTGGCATTGAACTAAACAGAGTAGAGACAAAGTTTTCCAGTTTAAGCAACACTGCAGCTAGTTAGCTTATGCTGCTGCTGGGAGTTTCTATGTTTGCTTATGTAGAGTTGCTCTAGCTAGGAAAACCTTTATCACCATTGTTAAACTTAGTCTATCACTCCACATTGAGCTGAATCAAGATGGAAAATAGTCTGAAAGGAAGATATCTTTCCTGTTTCTCTTCCATTTCTTGACTGGTGTTGCAAATAGAAGGGGACAGCTCCTCATGGAGGTACATTCCCCTCTGTACAGCACTTCTGTAGGGATTACTACAATTTGCTGATATTATTAAGGGGGAGGAGAAAGGGGAAGGATTGACTATTGTTTTGTCAAATACAGAAGTGATGCTGTTCACTCTAGACACAGCAAAGGGTTACCTTGCTGCACAAGTTAGGTCACAGACCTTGGGACATTTTGTCTCGTACTCCCATGCTATATAATTTATTGATTAGAAGTTGAAATAATTTGTTGAAAAAGGTTTATTTTAGTCTTGGGCAACCTCTTAATGATGTACTCCCAAGGCTTTTAAAATGTGCACACCAACTAAATATACAGCTTCAGTCCCTGCTCCAAAGCATCCTCAAAATGGCTTCTCATTATATCAGGCCTGGATTTTGCACAACTCCTTTTAACATCTTAAACTGAGAAAAACAGAAGGAACCAAGAGGCTTCACTGAACAGCCATTGCCCAAGCTGATGTTTACAAGGAGTCTGCCACTATCCTGCTTTCACCTGTTAGACTTGTGCAGGGAATATTTGTTCCTTGATTTTCTGTAGTGTCAGTCACAATATTTCCCTTTCTTTCAAAACTTCCCTTTGCTAAATTGTTTCAAGGACATAAAAATTCATTAAAAAAAACCCCTCTTTCTTACCACCTACATTGACTTTATAAACTAGTAATCTAACAATTTTGTAAATTTCCCCCCCAACAGTTTTAATACTTCCTTGGGGACAGGTGAGATTAGCTCTTGGTATATGGGAGCGTAGTGGCACGTTTCAATTTCTGTTGCTATGTCTTTCATGCACATCTTTATGTAGAGTAAAAGGGTGATTATGTTTCTTGTTGAAGTTTGTATTGGGCATCTGTACAGAACTGCTTTTAAAGCAGTATATTAATTAGGTAACAGCAGAAATCAGAATAAAATCTGTATGCAAAACACCCAACTCTGCGGTTTTTCATTATACATGCATTGAATGCATGTAAATCCTTACTGTACTAATCTAAACCTAAAGCAAATCCCTAAATTATGTCAGGGAAGTAAAATTGATAGCAGTAGCAACAGAATCACTCAGGACTCCAGAAGAGGCCCTAGTGTCCCGGTTGCAGTTATGTGTCGTAAAACAGAAAGAAGAGCTCTAGGAGTGACAATACCATCAATCACCCCCACCCTCCCCTCAAGCCCTTGAACACAGCATAGCCTAGTGTTATTTGATTAGCCACCATCTTGACCCAAAATATCATTTAACTTAAACTTTTTACACTACAAATACATACTGGAAATGAGGAGGAGTAAATTTGCCATATTGCTGTTGCCCTACTTTAAACTCTGCCCTCCACATTATGCACTAAGTGCCCATTGTCATCCTCAGTGCCTCTGCGCATTAAAACCCCTCCATAAGAGGTCATGAGTAACTCTGAGTAATTCCAGAACTGTAATTTTAAAGTATATGGGTGGGGGTGAAGGATTCCTTGAAGCAGCAGCCTTTATGTAAGCAAAGTTTAGCATGTGCTGCTCTTCCTTTACATTATACGTAAAATGGCAAGCAGGTGAGGAGAGTAGCTCATGACCACTTCAGGAAATGTTGATCTGAGATGCAGAAGCTTTCGCATGCACCTCCAAAATATAAATAAATAAAAATTTTAGGTAGTTCATCAGATTCTCAGCTATTTTTTTGCTAGTTTAGCCATAGACACCAGGAAGCACCGAAGAAATATGACACTGAACGTGTGAAGTCATAATTTCATAGACCTGTACAGGCTGTTTCATGCGTACCTTGGGCTTAAGGCTGCCAGCGTGCTACCTTCAGGCCTCACAAAGCAAACTTTTAGCTCAAAGGAGGAGTCTGCCAGTCTACCCAAAGGAGAAAGGTACTGGCACCAGCCTGTCCTAAGCTTCACAAGGGGACTCCCCACCTCTGAACACCCCAATCACGTCCAGCTGTACCATGCTACAGCAGCTTCAAGTTTTCTTTAAAACCTAAACCTTACTGTAAAATTCACTGACAAATCCTCACCTGCCAAAGATGTAACCCCCACCTCTAAATACTGTGTGTTACCATCTGTAATCTCCCTCTGCACTTGATACGGTAGGATCTCGGTGTTGTTGCCTCCACTGCAGAGCTCAGTGCAGCACCAATATGAAATCAAGTGGACAACAAGTTAGTGAGTGGAGAGGTCCAGCTCCATATGCTGCCTGCGCTTTGTGCCTCTCTTCACAGCTCCGGCCCACACTCAGAGCGCCTAAGCTGTCAAAATCAATGCCAGTTACCTACCTGGATATCTTTAATACTCAGGACTCAGTCCTTGAATCCTTCAGTTCCTACATCTAGGTGCACAAATTCTCAGAAAGGGGAAGTCCTGTACAGCTCCTGATGTCACCCTCTCTGCTGCTGTCCCCCATACACCTCTCGCTTGAAAAATCTACAAGAACCAGCACATATTCTACACATCCCAGTGCCCCAAAACTAGAACCCTCAATTTTGCACAGATCCAGGTTTAATGTGTAGGAGGCTGACCATAGCAAGCCAAAGTAATTTATTTCTACCTAGCTCTTCTGTGTAGGAGCTTATTCAGAAACGGAGCATGTGATTTAGCTGTTTTCACCTTTAGCAGTCCATTCTAGAAATGCCATTGCTCCGCGATAAATTGTTTTTAATTGCTTTTTAAGTTTTTTCTTCCTTTGCCCTTGCTTTTGAGGGGGTGTGATAAGTTTATGTTTAAGCTATTTACTGATTACGCTGGTCATAGTCATTGCTGGGAAGATCTCTGTACAGTCCTAATCATGGCATATGACACGAAATACAATTAGGCTTTTTTTTCCATTTCTGATCATTCCACAGTTATTTGAAGAAATTGTGCAATACTATCAAATAAATAAAAAAAAAAGTTTCTCCTCTTTTTTAGTATAAAAGGACCAAGTTACCATACCCCAGAAGCACAAATGTTGGATTTTATGCAATGTAGATAACAGCATCTGGCAGCTAGAGATCCCTCTTCACTGAACCTCCCTTTCCGAGTAGAGCTTCTGTAGCGACACAATGTAAGGGTCCTTTAGCAACCCTCACCAGCAATGCATCTGGGGCTCCAGCGAGTTGTACAGCTGCAAGGAAGAAGTCCTAGCTCCTCTTTCTGTTGGTTTCACTAATCCCCCTCAGAGCACATACTTTATATGTGATACTAACTGTATCATATCATACTAAACGAATGGTTTTGGCCAAACTTTGGGGGCTGGATATTTACAAAGAAAAAAAAATATAAAAGCATGTGGCATAAGTACGCACCAGTCTTTTCACTTAGTGCTCAGATGTCTCCCAAGCTAAGAACTAAAAGCAGAACTAAAGGCAGAGGGAAGAAGAAATGCCCTAATTCTCTGGATATTGATGGAGCTACACTGTATGATCCTGGATTAATGCAATAACGAGCTCGCCTGTGGGACCAGATCCCTCAAATCCTCTTTATTTTTGGCAAATTTGCAAGTTGAGGTTTGTATAGTATCCACTTCCCCATTGAATCAGCAAACTGAGTTAATGGAGGGCATTTTTTTATTAAGAAACATGGCAACAGGGTCTAGTTCAATCCTTTTACCCCACATCCCACTTTTCAAAAGGTAGTTATGTACTTCTGTAAATTTTAGCTAAATATGATGGAGCACCAGAGCTCTTAATTCCTTTCATGCATTTGATTCAGTGCAGTGACATGCTACGCTTCCACAAGAAGCAAGCTGGAATGAGAGAGCTGAGCTAGCAGAGAGTCACAGGTACACAGGGCCACGTAAGGGACAAATATCACCTCCACAAGCAGGCTGTGGCTCCTGTGTCCCCAGCTCTGCAGAGGAAAGCAG